CAGATCTACTGTCGCTATGCCAAACAAAACCCAAATCTGGGCCACCACGGTGGGATGCAGCTTCCACTCCTTTGCTAGTGGTCTGCGCCTGGAGAGGAGGTCTGGACCTAGGTTCAGTCTCCCCGGAACATGAATGGCTCTGATAGACAGAAAATGAACACTGCTCCACTGTAAAAGAGTGTGAGACAGGTTCAGCAGAGGAAGGGATCGTGTCCCCCCTTGTCTGTTTGTATAAGAGACCACTGCTCTGTTTTCCATTCTGATTAGAAGATGATGGTTCTCCAGAACTGGACAAAAATGTTTCAGTGCTAACAGGACTGCTAACAATTCTAGGCAGTTTATGTGGAACCTGGACTGTTGTGGAGTCCAGGTTCCCCTCACCGCCGCACCGTCACACAGGGCTCCCCAACTTTTCAAGGAGGTGTCTGTGGACACCACTTTGCGAAACGACACCCTCCCTATTGGAGAACCCTGATACAGGAGGCCGGGTTCCCTCCAGGGGCTGAGAGCCGTCATGCAGGAAGCAGTCATTGTTAGCTTTTTGTGTCTGTGTCGAGATGGATAGCCTGTGGGACTGAGACCAACGCTGAAAATGGCGCATTTTTAACAGCCCGAGTGGTACTACTGAAAACATGGAAGCCATCAGTCCCAGTGACTGTAGTACGGTTTTGAAGCTCAGTTTGCGTCCCAGTTGAACTGAGCTAAGCAGCGGTGAAACGCGGCCGCTCTGTTTTCTGAGAGGCGAGCTCTGCTTGACAAGGAGAAGATTTCTAGTCCGARGAACGAAAACTGCTGACTTGGTGTTAATAGACTTTTCTGGGTGTTTACTAAAAACCCTAAAGCCTGAATGTGTGACAGAACCTGAGACAGCTGATCTAATGTTTGCTCCTTGGAGCTTGCGATCAGAGCCCACTCGTCTAAATATGCTAACAGATGGACCCCCCTTTCCCTGAGAGGAGTCAACGCAGATTCTACACACTTTGGAAAGGTGCGAGGAGCTAGAGATAAACCGAACGGTAGCACCAGGTACTCGTAGGCTACACCCTCGAAGGCGAACCAGAGATATTTTCTGTGCTCCGGGTGAATCGCTATGTGAAAATATGCATCTGTTAAATCGATGGTCGCAAACCAGTCGCCCGGGCTGATCGAGTGAATTAGCTGTTTGAGCGTTAACATTTTGAACCTGTATGTTTGAAGGTACCGGTTTAACACTCTCGGATCCAAAATAGGCCGCAGGCCGCCCCCTTTCTTCGGAACAAGAAAATAACGGCTGATAAAGGTCCTTCCTTTATCTCTGACTTGGTTCAGCTCCACACACACCACCTAGCAGGTTCTTTTCATTAGGTTGGAGGCTGCTGGTGGTAYCCTGCACCAAATCTCAGAAAGCATTTAGTTTTAATTTGAGATGTTTGCAGATGATACTATGGTATATTTGATTGGCCTATGTGACAGTGTGTGTCCATGTTTCCTTTGTTAATGTGTGACCCTTCAGCTTTTAACAAGTCTTGAAACAAATGTTGCCCATTCCTACATTAACTTGTCCCTKATGTCAGTATTTGGGTCCGTCATCCTCCAGTTTCTGTAAGTTAAATRGAAACGATACATGATTCCGCTAAGTCAAACCATCTGGATCAAAGCAATTTGTGTGCAGTTTGACGAGCAAGTAAACATCAATGTTCGCAGTTTCAAGTTTTTATGGCTGTTTTTGCAGTGAGCTGTCCGACACGCCTCGAGATTTCCACTCCAACCGCCAGCTTTTCAACGATAAGGACAATGTGCCTCGCAACCGAACATCCAAGAGCTTGGACATGGGTGAGCTCGCAATCACACAAACAAATCTCCTCATCAGCTCCCAGCAGTCTTCATATATTCYGAGGGAGGAAATGTAATGACGGGCTGCGGCGCCAATTTAATGGCAGACTCCGAACAGCCACAGCAGTGATCACACGTTTCTTATCAGTACATTTCTTTGTTGTGATATGTGCTCCCCGACTATTATCCAAAGCCCAGAGGGGTTTGACCCCCTGAACCCATAAGCCCAGGGGCCTTTCCTTCGAACCGGGAGAGCACGCTGTTTGGTGTGAGCGTGCAATTGTGCGCGCCCTTTAWATTTGAGAGTGAATGAAACAAATAAGTGTGTGTGTGGAAGGTGAGGACGATGGGGCTGATTTCTTCATATTAACCCAAACTGACCCTGTCTTCCTATAGTCTTTCTGTCCCTCTCTCTTCGAGTCTCACTTTTCGTTTTTTGGCTTTTTTTGTTTTGTGTTTATATCAGCACTGTTTATTTTTTATTCCCCCCATCTCTGCTTTTATTTCTGATTTTCAGCCTTTCCTTCATCTTTGCTTATCTCTCYGTTTCCTTCAGCTGGTTGTTTTTCAGCGGATGACTTCATCGCTCTCTGACTCTTCTATCTATTTCTTTCTTCTCTGMCTCTGTCTGATTTCCAATCCCGGTTCATTAGGTTCAGTGGATTGGCTTTCTTCCTGCAGCACACCCCTCTGCCACCCAAGCTGATTGGCTTTCATTATGGACAAGGGTGGTCTGCACACACCRCCGAACACACACAAACACACACACACTCTACTCTATCCCACCGAGGACCCACTCCAATACCCACCACTATCTGCCACCTCTCTCTGGCTTCCATCTCCATCTCTGGCCTTTCTCCATTTCAATCTCTTTCTTTTTTTCTCTCCCCGTTATCGCTCTGGTTCCATTCATCCTTTTCCTTTTCTAAAGTACTCAGAGATGAAATAAGGTGGTTAGCTGAGCTTTGTGTGTGTCTGATTGTGTAAAGATCGCAGGAGCTCTGAACACATACGAGACCTCGGACACTGACCCTGCCAGGACGGGTTTTATTTAAGGAGACAAATGTGTTTTTCTCCTGCGAGTAGGTCCTCACACGTCGGGCCCCAACGGTCACATGTGTCTTGAGCTCCGGCTACAGCGTTAGAGAAGGTTAGCTTTTTATTAAACACTACTTGACAGAAGGAGGTGAGCAGCTTTTATTGACCCTTAGCAAACTGTGTGTTGACTCAGAGCTTTGGCGCACACACACACACACACACACACACACACACACAC